AGCCTCTCCTTCGTTGTCCTCCCTTTCTTTTTCTTCTTTTTCTTTATTCTTGAATTCATTGGCCAGTAAGTAATTATTGGCCACGACAGGAGGTAGCGTACCAAACTGGATAGTAAGGGGCTGATCTGGATCTTCTCCGTCCCTTCTGTCCCGCTCAAACTTTGGTCTCCCAGAAAAAGTTTCTGGCAGCTCTTTCATTGATTCATCTGTACCGGTTTCTTCACTATCCTTGAGAACATTTTGATTGGCTATCTTGAGTAGTTTAGGCGCTCTAGGATGTGGCACTCCCTGTTGTTGCCTCATCATTCGTCCATAATTTCGTTGGAAATGCCTTTATTGGGTTCTAGTCATCTCATCGAAGGGTATTGCCCTTCCTGCATTATACTGGAACGAATGCCATACATTTGGCCGGCGAGATTGCGGCCTAAATGTTCTTCCATTATCTGCTGGTCTGAACTGCCTTTCAAAGGGCGGTCCTCTATAGAATGATGTACCTTGCCCTCTACCAGGCTGAGTGTTTGGGAAGAAAGTAGGGCGATGGGGATGCTGCCATTTCCCTAGTTTCTTCGTGTTCCCACTCACTTCTCTTTTACATCTTGCACACAGGACATCTTCGTCTTTTTTTGGTTCTTTCCCCTTGATTCGTTCAAAGACACTGGGATGTGGTCTAGGGTTCTCTTCTCTATTATTTTGGCAACTTGTTTTTGAAACCGGACGTCACCATGTTCACTTCAAGTGGCTGTGGAAAAGGATTTTCATCCACTGTCATCTTCTTCTTATCATCGAACGTAATTCATCATGATTCAATGGCATCCTGCAACACGTGACGAAAAATCAAGCAATTGTTAGTCAAATGTGACCATGCATTATGCCACTTACAATATTTTTTACCCTTAATTTGTTCAGAGTTTGACAATTTATGCTTATCGCTCAACTTTATCTGCTTATTCCTATATAATTTATCAAATATAAGGTCAGCTTTGGTTACATCGAACGAGAACGTTCTAGCCTTTATGTTTCCATCTTTCATGGGCTCATCTTTGCCCGATGGTCTAGGCTTGGCCATTATAGGACAAGTATACGTATCTCCTTTGACCAATTCGACCAAATACATTTCGGCCTGATCGTATGACGCGTCGCTAATGGTATGAACGTCAAAATTTGGGCCTTCGTAATAAGTCCCTTTACTAGAATTTTTCATCTGCTCCTCTTCTCTTATCAGTCGTTCATACCTAATCACATTCGCACTCAACTGGAAAAGGTCAGGAAATTTCTTGTTTTGGAATTTCTTTTTTAAATCAAAGCTCAAACAGTCCTGAGAGATTTTGACAAATTCCTTTTTAGGCAAAGGTACAAAACACTTGCTTCTTGCTGTCTTGAACCTTTGGAGAAAAC